CCTAAGGAAGACAACACCAAAGCAAGCAAATAAAAGGTGGAGAAATAATGGTATTCTTGGCAGGATGGGACAGGAAGATAAAATCTCTTGAATTATAAGTCACATGTGTCTGGCCAGTAACACAAAAAAGCCACTGCCCTCTTTGTCAAAGTTGCTGGCTCTGCAATTCCTCCCACCTCTGAGCACTCGACATCTCATCTGGAGCCTTCATTGTTGGCTTTTATCTAGTTTCCTTATCTGGGAAGCATCATCCAAATTTTCCCAAGTGAAAAGGAAGACTCAGGTTGACACTGGTGCATGACAGCATGCCTATCTGATGAGTGATTTCCTAAAAACAAAAACAACAACAACAACTAAAAAAAAAAAAAAAAAGTGATGGAATAGGCACTGGAATTCTCTGAGGAATATTGTCCACCACCTTTTTTCTGTTGTATGGGCCAATCTTTTACCTTCACGACAGAGACCCACTTAAGAAAACTGGAAACATGGACCAAAAGAAACTTATGGCACTTTGTAATACAGTAAAACACACACACTCTCTCACACACACACACACACACACACACACACACACACACACGGACAGGGAGAGAGAGAGAGAGAGAAAGAGAGAATGAGAGAGAGGGAGAGAGAGGGAGCACTCACTGGCACTGGTCTAGGGTAAGTTACTAGAACAGAGGTACCTCTAGTTAACCCATAGACTTTACTTTTACTCATAAGAGTTACAAGACAAACTCCAGGAAACTCAAATATTTTTTAACAATGCAGTAGTTTACTCTGACATCAATTGCCAACAATTAGTGTCACTATACTGACCTGAAGATAATTGCCTATAATTTCGGGTCTCCCATCATAATCAGGGATGTTTCTTTGATCCGTATAAAGGTGTACTGTCAGTCACAATTCCAGGGCCACATCAAATACCCCACAGGACACCACGTTGATCATGTTCAGAATGATTGGGAAGAAATTTCTAAAGTATCTGAAATTTGGATGATGAAGGACAAACTATATTGAGTAAAACACTGACTCATCTCTCTGCATCCACTGAGGTTGCATTTGCAAGCACTTTGAAGATATACTTAGCAATGAGTTTGCCCACGAGGCATTTTTTTTTTTCTTTAATTTCTGGCAAGTGCCCTATGGGTAAGGTGACCATGCCATTACTTAAACTCAATTCCCTCATGAATGCCCTCTGCTGAGAGTTTCTGAGAATCAAACATCAACTCATAAGGTGTCCCCAAGTTTCAGCTACGTGGGGGACAGTGGGATATTTTGCACATACTGGATTATTTTACATTCTGAGCCACTCCCTCAGTTTTGTGTGTGTTTGTGTGTATTCTTAGTTAAAAGATTGAAAGATCATAAGAGAAAGACACAAAATATTCTCCAACTATTAAAAAAATAAAAACTATTCATCCAACTATTTAAAAAATAAAGTTGCTCAGGTAGACACAAACTGCCCTCCTGATTCTGGAAAAAAAAAAAAAAAAGAGCTTTGAGCACAAAGCTTACTTCTCCCTCCACAGACAGCTCTTTTCTAAATCCAATACTGTATCTCCCACTGGAATTCTTGCATTAGTCATTTTCATATCAAAATATTTATTACCAACCACCCTTCTGTCCCTGAACATACCCGTATCACTCATATCTTAAAAATATCTTCCTTGAAATTGCAAATTATGCAATATTTTGCTCTAGTCCCCCTACATTTCATGCTCAGAATTCTTAAAAGATCACGTTTTTTTCCCAGCCTTTGATTCCTCACCATCCAATTAAAACTTAATCCCTTGCAGTCTGTTTTCCACCTCCACAATTGCTAAAACTGCATTTTCAAATATGAGGGAATGAAACAGCTGGTCCCATGTCTCAATACAAATCCCTCTCCTCCCTCATCTTTATTGACTTCACACCGTCTTTGCCTCCAACTCCAAGACTACTGATCTCGCTGTTCTTTCCAGCTCTGTGCCCCCTCTGTATCTCTAAATATCTTTATTCTTGAAGTGTGATTATTGTCCATCTCCTCTTTTTACTGTTTTCATTTGACGATTTCACACCTATCGGGATTTTAGTCAATTCCTTTATAGCGAAGACTCCTATATCCATTCCTCTAGTCTTACCCCTCTCTAAACCCTAGACAAACATTTTCAGCTCCCTGAAGGGATCACTACAACAGGTACTTCCAAAGCAATGTGTGCAAACAAATCACATCAACTCCTCTCTCTCAATCTCCTCCTCGGCTCCTCAAATAGATGTTTTTGGTTTCGTTTGATTTGGTTTTCTTGAATTCTGGTTAACGAAGTTCAGTTTGCTCTTAATTATGCAGCTCAAAATCTTGCAGGTAAATCTCAGGGATTTCGCTTCTCGTATATCGGTTAGAGGTTCTCCAGTCCCACTGTTACACACACACACACACACACACACACACACACATGCACATACACCCATCAGATCCCTCTTAACTCACACCCAGGGCATTCTCTCAATGCTCCAATATAATGACACCATTACTTGATTGCTTTTCTTAAAGAGTAGATCCAGCCACGTTTGTATACCTGTTCACAAACTCCTCAACCCAGATTTTGACTCCAAGTCACCTATATGTCTTAGTCACCTGTATGTCTTTATCTTATCTTCCTGGTACCTATTGTAGTTTCAAATAAAGTGTACTGATTTCTGTTCCTTGAAATGGCCTAGATAGTACTTCTTTAATCCCTTTGTTTATTCTGCCTATAATTCTATCCAAACTCCACCTATCAGAGCGTATTCACCCATCAATGTCCGTCTCAAAGGCCATCAACTCCTTGAAGCTTTTCTTGATTTCTGTACCGTCATCATGGCTTCTCTCAGCTTCCTGTGCCTTTTAGCTTTCTCTATCTTAAAGCATATTGGTGTTTTTAAAATCTGTCCCTTGTTTTTGTTTGGCTTTCTTCAATCTACAAATAACTTTTCATAAATTGCCTCATCTTCATTTAGTGTAAAGAATATAGGTGTGGAGTCATATAGAACTGTATTTTAATATCTTCTTCCCCACCTAGTGGTTGTATGAATAAGTAGAGAGGAGAAAATCCTCAGTAAAGGGGAGCACCCAGATCAAATTTGGGTTTCATGGATCTTCACACAGTTCTGATGCCAGCCCACCCCAATGCTGTATCTCACTCCCTCTCCCTACTGCAGACTCTTTCACAGAAGTATACAATACAATAAAAAGCCACAAATAACTGGATTTTAAAATAAAAACAAAAATTGATTTGAATGTTGGAAAGTAGATACCTTACATGAAGCTCTGTAAACATCCTTTGTAGTTAGACAGGCTTGCGAACTTGGGATATGCTGCTAGACAGTTTTATAGTCTCCCTGACCCATATAAAATTCATTTTAAAATACATTTAAATTTGAATACTGTTCAACCAAGACTACACTTTCCACACAGAGTCCTATCCCATTCCCATCTCCCATTAACTCCTTGGTTTATGCCCAACCTCCCTCAGCGATTTACTGCAATGCCCCCAAAACTCAATATAGTTTTTTAATCTTCCATCTATGTCTACATTAAAGGTAAAGAAAAAAATCAAGAAGAGTTCCAGATACTAATTAAGTAAAACAAAATCTTCAACAAGTTAAAAAGGGAGAAATAAATAAAAATCCCAGTTTCAAATAATTTTTTCATTTCTTAGAAGAAAAAATTTGAAAACTCAAAAATATTAGTGGCCCCTTCTTCATAAAGGACTTCCTTTCTTCCTCTTTTGTTAACTTAATAATGCTTTGTATGTCTCTTTAAGAGGAAAAAACATTACTTAACTAATGAGCTTCAGTTTCCTTATCTACAAATAATTTTAGTAATTTCACCTACCTTACTGGATTTTCAAGACTAAAGGAATATGTAAATAAAATGCTTAGTACAATGCCTGACAAAATTGGAGGAGTTTTGTATAACTTACTTTTCTTGCTTTTCCAATAGACAACAAACTCCTTGAGGACAAAGCCTTTTTTTAATGAGTTTGGTATACTGTCCAGTACCTAGCACTGCTGTCCCTCTCACATAATACATTCTCCATGAACAGTTTTTTATTGATATTAACTTATGAGGATAAGGAAGAAGTAATACATCAGAAATACGTAGAGTTTCTGAAAATACATAGGCCAATTCCCAACCCCAGATATGATGGTTCAGTCAGCCTGGGTTAAAATTTGGACACATTTGTTAATCAAATATTCCCCAGATGATAATTACAACTATCATTGTTTGAGAACTATTGGTCTAACTCAACTGGCCTGATTCTCAAGCAAAATCATCTTTGATTTTAACCCATATGTCTCCCTTTCTTACCTCATTCCGTTCCGTTCCTCTTTGGGTCTTTAGAACAGACCTCGCTCTTGTTAATTGGACTCTGCATGCAAAGAGCAACGAACCTGCTGTTCATTTAAATTTGGATTATTGTTTGCACAGATGCACCTGTATATTACCTTTTGGATTGTTCTCGGCATGTTGAGGCCAATAATATAGTTTTGTATCTATAGTGTAGCATCCCTACTATAGTGAGTACTCCTGGGGATGTGACTACTTCTCACATTACTCCCTGGCAACACAACAAAATAACCTATGCCTAAGGACACATCCATAAACCACACTTCTCCAAGAACAGCCAAGAGAGCATATTCCACTAAATCTCACTGAATATTAGAGATTAAAACTGCTTTTAAAAAACTTATTGATGATCCCATGTGAACTATTTCCTAAGAGTATTAACCAGGAGATAGAAGTTAAACAAGAAGATTTAATATAAAGAAATATTTACAATACCTAGTTGGGGGAAAAATAGAACTTAGAACTCTAAAGAACAAGAAAACAACAAATAAAGGAAGCAGTCACACCTCAAGGACTGAAGCAGAGTGCTCAAGGAAGTCGCCAATCTGGAAGAGCCCAGACGTTGGAAAGGAAAAATCCCAAATTTTTTTATTTTTATTTTTATTTATTTATTTTTATTTTTTATTTTTTTGGGTTGCTTCGAACTTTATTTGAGAAAAACAGAAGACAAACGTATCAAAAGAACACAGGTTGGGGGAGGGGCATGGCCAGTGGCTGCGGCACCGGTGGGCATTCGGGCTAAGGCTTTTACTTGGCTGCAGACTGGTCGGATTTCGCAGCTTCTGGGCCCCCAAGCTGGGCCCGCAACTCGAAGGTGACGGGGATGGTGATCTCGTTGGACTGCGTGGCTGGCTTGGGCATGGGGGCCTCCACGGTCAGCGTACCCTCAGGGGACAGGGAGGAGGAGACCTGGGTGGGGTCCACACCAGGGGGCAGCGTGTATTTCCTGGTGAAGCAGCGGGAGATGAATCCATGCTCATCCTGCCGCTCCTCGTGCTTACCGGTGATCTCCACCACGCCATCCTTTGTCTTGACCGTCAGCTCCTCGGGGGCGAAGTGGTTGACGTCCAGGTGTAGGCTTTGGATGACAGGGACTTTTGTGGAGGTGCTGTGTGGTGGACCTCGCTGGATCCATCCTCCTGAGTCGGAGAAGTCTTTCTCTGGAAGGTAACAGCCTGCCCTCCAGGAGTCAGCTAGCAGTGAACATACCCCGAACCAGGAAGAGACCCTCTCTCCTCCAGTGTCCTTCCAGCGCCCTCTATTGGTGAAACTGGACAATGAAGGGTGACTTCGGAGCTGAGAAGCCTGGGCTGTTAACACACTAAGCAACTGAAATTCAGAATGTACTCTCTCGAGATTAAAGACTGAGTGACAGAGCAGGGATAAAAACTCCCAGTTCAAAAATCCTTTGCATTGTATCATTGTGGCTAGATAAGACAATCCCGGAGTTGATTTTGAAGAAGAGGGGCTGGGAAACGTATAGCCTTAATTATAGGTCTTAGGTCTTATTCTTTTAAAACTCTTTGTTGTTGTATAGGCGATGAAACTGAAACTCAGAACTGAAGTCATTTGATGGCCGTATAGGAAATAACGTGACAGTCAGGATTTGATCTCTGGTCTGACGTAAAAGTTCATAATATTTTGATTATACTGCATTACAGAAGAAAGTTAACTAGACTGATGTGAAAAAAATGGAATTTATATTTTTAGTTATGACTGTTTAATTTTGCACGTTAGTCATCCACTTCAAATGAGTTAATTACTTTTTCAGGCCTCTGAATGAGAGAAAACATTGCTGTCCACAGAGGCATAGCAAAGCAGTGTTAAAAATGTTGAAGCAAATCAAATACAAAATCCATAAATCATATGAAGGAATAGATTTTTCAGTAAGTGAAATATACTTGATGATGAACCAAATTGTCTAATTTCCATCTGTGCCTTTTTTTTTTTTAGAACAGTATAGCTCACAGTGAATAATTAATTGTTTTTAAGTCAGTTTGGTTCAGTTGGAGGCTACTCTAACTTACTAAGAATATAAAAATATACACATTTTTAAACAATATATTTGAAAGAAATAACTGGTTCCCAAAACCTCTACCTAGTATCATATAATTCTGGCAAGATATTTTGCTATTGTTGCTTATGGAAACAAACTATTTTCAACCAGGTAAAAGAAATTTTATGTTTTATTGGTCAAAAGCTGCCAATGAAATTATTGCTGTATTTTTTATAATTTAAAATTGGTAATGTAGGCATTGCTTCTTTCAGTAAAATGGATTATCAAAGGCTTAATTTGACTAGAAGGTTAAAAGGAGCTGAAATCTAGAACTTGCTGCTATTCAGATACCAAAAGCTAAGCACTCCTTTGGGAGTGCAGGGACTGTGTAGTAATCATAGTTTCCATTGTTAAGCCTGGACATGGACTGACAGAACATCAAAATCTATCATTTGTATCATCTGTGAGGACAGCACCATCACAGAACAAAATCATATGGGGTTCAAATTACTTCAGCAAGGCACATTGTAGCAGTGGATCATGTATCTTAAATTATCTCTGAGATTTACTTTACACATACATATAAAGGACTTTGGCCTATTAAATAAGACTATTTCACAAAATAGAGTGAGAGTCCCTATTCTCTTCAAATTTCTGAGTCCTCAAATACAAGAAGACAAAAATACACTTATGCTTTAAGGTATTGAAGATGCCTAGAATCCCATCAAGCTTTCAGTGAGGACCAGCTCCCATTTATTTCTCTCTCTCTTCCTCTGAATTCTCAAACTTAAATTACAAAACTTAAATTATGCAATTTTATATTGCTTGCTACAATTTCCTTTGTCTCACCAATGCATTCAAAATCAGAATATAAAAGAAAAAAATATTTTTTATTCTGTATATCTCTACAACTGTCTTAAACCCATAGAAGGCTCTCAATAAGTATCAGTAATGTATGTTTTGCTTCTTTCAGGAGGTGGGAGGATATATGTACCCACAGACTATAATTATAGGTCACTATATTTATATGTTCATCCATTTATTTTATAACTTTTATATTAATTTATGGCACCTGCCCTAATGGAGCTATGTGCTGACAGATTATGGTGAGTGTGATGAAAAAGTTGAACAAGTTAGTGAGAGAAGGTTACTGGGGAGAGCCGTTTGGGATATTGCCATTGGAAAAGGCCTCTAAGGGAGAAGACATTTGAACCCAAAGCTAAAGGAAGAGAATGAGCAAAGCAATAAGGGAAAAAGCTAACAGAATAGCTCTTGCATTCCAGGAACAGGGAAGAGTGCAAAGGTCAGAAAGGAGATGGACTTACCTAGCAAAACTTTCTAAAAGTTAAATAAGAATACATAACTTGAAAAAATCAAGGGAATCTTGGTGAGCACAGACAATGTAAATAATCTAATCAGAAATAAATGGTTGATATTTTACTTTTTCTCATATTATTTAAGATTGAAGAGCCAAGATACCACAAGAAACTTCATTAAAAATCATGAAGATCAAATATTTTTGAGATCAAATATCATCTCATGTTCAATCTTTGCTATTTACTTACAGCTGCTATGCTATTGATAGAATTCAGACATTCCTGATTTCAAGGATATTGTCATATGTCCTCCATTTGTGTCTGGAGTATGTAGATTTCTTTAAGAGGAGGCATATTTATTTTAAGGTAAACGAATGAGTCATTTAAGTGTGCCCCTCTTTAATAGATGAGTAGTAATCAACAAGCATTTCTGAAGGTCATAATGCAAGCAAATGTTGTTACTAATTTATACCAACCATGTAATTTCAAATAAATGACACAAACAAAAAGAAATAAGACATTCCACCATTCAAATCATTTTCCTTATTTTATAGTCAATTTCATGTTAGCTATAACTTAAAATACAGCTCCTAAAGGGCTTATAAACAAATTAAACTGTGCTTATCATTATTTAACATGACTTTTTTAAAAAGCCCTAATTGTGCCACATAAAAAAAATCAATTTTTCACTCTGCTCAAGTTAAATTAACTGTGGTTGACTGGTTATATTTTCAGAAAGGCAAAACAAAGTTGAAAATTGTTGCTGTGGTGATGAGAAAACCTCCTAATTTGTTTTGTCACAGCTTTTACATTGTGCTAAAAGTAAATATAGTAATTAGCCTTCATTTCTCTAGAAATTATTGCTAGTTTCCAGTACAATTCCATTTCAATATCTGATGCTATAATAATACCAATTTAAAGAATTAAATTTTTAAAAAGAAAAATAAATTATCAAATATAGAATTCAGGCTGAAGGAAATAAGGCCTACATTAAATAATAAATACCTTTGTACTCTTTGTCTAAAACTCCTTAAAAATAATGAAGCTCTTTTAAATTTATACCATCAGTATTAAATACCATAATATCTTATTTCATAATAACCTACATAGAGCTTCTATATTTGACACTTTATTTTACTCCCGCAAGAATTCTGAAAGATAATTTGTATTGTTTTCATTTCACAGAAGCTAATGTGAATAAACAAGATAAATACCCAGGTTCTTGTTTTATTTTTTTTTTAGTTTTATTTTATTTTTAGTTCAGAACTAATAACTATATTTATGTATGGGGTACAATGTGTTATTTTTGATACATGTATACATTATAAACTGATAAAATCAGGCTAATTCAAATAGCTATCACCTCAAATACTTATACATTATTTGTGGTGAGAATATTTTAAATCCATTCCTTTATCTATTTTGAAATATAAAATATATTAAGTATAGTCACCATGCTGTACAGTAGCTCACCAGAACATATTCCTCTGGTCTAGTGAAAATTGTCTCTTCAGACCAACATCTTCTCTTCTCAGTCCACTCCAGTCCCTGCAACTCAGCCTCTAGTAACCACCATTCTGATCTCTGCTTTTATGAGTTTTACTTTTTCAGATTCCACATAACCTATGCTCTTTAACACATGTTCCTCCATCATCCTTCCCCATCCTTCAGTCACATTTTTATGAAGATGATCTTTCAAAAGTGTGGATCTAATAGAATAATTTATTTTGAAAATCAAGATTATTACATATTATTTTATAACTGGTAAATAAACTCAATAAAAAATTTAAGCTATATTTAGAGATTTTAATTAAATCATCTAAAAATACTTATTTAAATTGATACTAGGATATGGTATTAAAAGATACAATTCCTCTTCCCAACAATATAATTGCAGTAGAAACAATTACATAAATAACTTAGTAGTTATCTGGTAGAGACAAGAAAAAGAAACTTCTGAAATGGTACCAGAAGAGTACAAGCAAAAAGGCATACAGTTTAGTAATTTGTTTTCATATCTAAGTGTATTTGAGATGCCTGGAAGGTAAAATTCAAGTGGTGTTTTGGCAGGAGCAGGGCAAGAGGCTACTGAGGCCAGATCATTAGGTTCAATGCACTAGGCTGAGTGTGGACCTTATCTTCTGCCCACCCCTAATGTGTGTTTATGATTAAACACCATATATTAGGGTGGTACAAAAGTAATTCCAGCTTTCATCATTACTTTTAATAGTTTAGGTATTTGAGAGTGGCATATCATTTTTGATTGGCTATTGATTTACTTTACAGAGTTATTGAGTATAGATTTAATTTACAAAAGATTTATTTCTACATTGTATAATTCTAAAAATCCAGTCAATTTAAAACAATAAAAGGAAAACACTTCTCTACATTTTCCTTTTCCAGTGGTAAATGTTAACAGTTACATGTTCTTAATCTTTTTTACATGTGCATTTGAGTGACAGTCTATATATCTATCTATCATGAAAATAAATGGGATAGTGCTTACTTTCAGTCTTACAATTTTTTTTACTTCATTTATTGTTCATTTTTTGACCTATAAATTTTTCTTTCAATTTGCTGTAATATATCCAAAAAGCGGTGTAAGTTGCCTACTGTCACGTTATTTTCAGCTCAGAGATAAGAAAAATGGAAATGAGATCAACCATCACAAAGACTGCCGTGCAAATCATTCACTTTCCTTTAATCTAAATTTTCTCATTTATTGTGGACATTTTCTCACTCTTTCTGTTTTCTTCTCTTTAAAGGATTAGATTATATAACTGTATTATGATAATTTATTCAACCCCTAAAATAAACATTTTGATTGTTTCCACCATTGCTATTATAAAAGTATTTTAATAGACATCCAAATGCATTGAGA